TGTGTAACAAAATGCCACAGTAGTCAAATAATTGGTCCAACAAATGAGCACATTGACAGCCATCTGCACAGGTTTAGGGAAAGCAGCCACTGAACAACAGAAGCAAGCCAGCAAATACGTCTGTTAGAAATTGAAAGGGGCCAGCTTGATGTTGATTTGAGGGTAGAGCTGAGCAACCAATCGCAGGCTATAACAGTAGTGCAGGCAGCCAATCAAAGATGGATCTGCACGATGTGCAAAATCTTGCATCAGGCAGGAGCTGGCTGTATTCCAGGAGTTTGGTGTGGAGCTGCTGTAGAACCATCACGAGGAGCCGGCTCACAATTTTCTCAGTAAAACCCACCCATTAGTAATATGCAGTGGAAAAATCTGTCCACCAGTCTTTGATTTGCTTATCCTGTTATGGCGGGCTGGAGTCTCTCCTAGCTTACAGTGGCTGACGAGTAGCGCAGTACAGTCTTGGACAAATAAAGTCTCTCACAACACTGACATAAACACACACACACACACAGACACAGAGCATAGTGAGAAAAGGGAGTTCACGCCTACAGTCAATTTAGAGTCACGAATTCACCAAACCTGCATTATATTAGACTGTGGGAGGAAACCCACGCATGCATGAGGAGAACATGCGATCTTCACACAGAAAGCGTCACACACTAATCCAAAATTAATTTCTGTAAGATATTTACAGGTATTCATTTTCTTCTAACCTGATTACAAAGTCTTTCTGTGATACGTTTCAGCACTCTTGTTGTCCAATCTGGTCTACAACGCATGTCTACCAAAGAAATGACAGTTATGTGGCATTCTGGTCCTGTGGAAGACTTGATCCTTGGCTTTGGGTTGAAAAATTGCACATACAGATTTCAGTGTCACAACCTGTGCATAACTGAGGGAATGTGTCTTGGCTAGGATGAGCTGTCTTCATTTATCATGCATTCACGAGCAATGTGTAGGTTCGTGCAGGTTTTAGGTGCATATTTCCTTCAAAATATTGCTCTAATAAAGGCAATCCCTCAGTGCTGTTCTCCGTATTCAGTCACTTTTGCATCCCGTCCACTTTGTTGAAAATGCAGACTTTGTCTATGCTCTGTGCAAATACTGAAGAAACTCTTAGAGTTCAGGTGAACACACAGAGCAGGCACTGCAATCTTTATGTTTACAAAAATTGAAAGAGAGAAGTGGTACCTGCAAAATTGGTAGCTTCCAACAGCGTTTGAGTTTTCCTGTGGAATTTCACTGTGTGGTTGTGGACAAAAAGGTTCAGTCTTTAATGTTTGTTTGACTTTTGTGCTGTAGACAACGGTGGTTTGACCATCCCTGTTGCTAGTTAAAAGCTAGATCCATATTGTTTTAAACTGTTTATCAACTTATTTACAGCACATCTCCAATCTGACACATTTTTAGGCCTCCCACAGGCACACAGGGTTTCAAGCCACTCATTCCTTTGGTACAATTAGCAACCCACAGAACTACATAATGGTGTCCAGAAGCACAGGATGGAGCGCAGCATGACTCCTACATGCCCATATGCTTGCTGACAGCATTTATGCCACCTTTCATACTGCAGTGGATTTCCCATTACCCAGCTGGCAAGCCAAATGTCTCCAGCAACATGTTTAATATAAATACATCAGTGCACAAAATTTGGGAGTATTATTTGTATTTAGCTGTTTGTTTGTTTGTTTTGCCATTATTTTGAAAAACAAACAAACAGTGTCGTCACACCTTCATATGGCATATAATAATACACCAAACCATTATAATGGGGACTGACATCCTGTCCATAACTTTTTCTTTTCTTTTCTATTCAAGCTTGTCCATTGAAAGAGATGCAAATTTACATTTTAGTGTTGTGTTTAAAGGGATTATTAGAGCTTTGTTAGATTTCACTATAGAATTATTTGCTTAGGGGTTGTTTGGATGAGGGGAGTTTTAATGATGTATGCATTTTAAATCTACATATGTATCTAATCTACATATATACTTTCATACTTGCATTACACACACAAGAAAGAAGACGGTTACTTTCAAAGTCAGATGCAAAAGATGACTGATGATTGAAAGACTGACTTTAGGATTCTTTTTTTTTTTTTTTTTTTTTTTAACTTTGCAATGATACTGTATGTCCAAGGACTGAGTATAGCTTTATTATTCTGTTATAGAAAGGTCCTTATGATTGGATCTCCCTTTGAAGTTTCTTGAAAGGACCTTTTTAATAGGAGTCTGACTAGAAGTAAGCACAGCCAAACTTTGAGTCATACTTCCCTGAAGGCAGTTAACAGTTTGACCTGATTTCCTGTTCTTTGAAACTAAAGTTCAGGCGGTGGTCAGGATAACAACAAAGAATACAAATGTACCACCAATTACGATTGCATGTGCATATAACTGTAAATCCTGCAGATGGAATATATATTTAGATTCTGTGATGTGCAGCCTTTTTGTGCCTATAATTGAAATTAAAACTGCAGGAGGAAATCAGTGCACATGTTGCTTTTTTTTTCCCCCAAGATTAACTGTTAGAAGGAGCTTTCATTCCCAGATTACACATACAAAGACGTAAAAGAGCACTAACCTTTATGCAAGTTCCAGTGGCATCGGACTGATCACCCAAGACTAAATTACACTGTGGCAAGAGGTAAAATAAGAGCCGGGTTGACAGATGGACAGGATTTTTGAGCAGTGAGAGTGAGTAGAGCAGACAGATCATAATTCAGTTGGGAGGTTGTGATATGAGCCAGAGAAAAGATTAGTTTTCAGCTTGCAGAGGCAGAATGACACAGTATTTCACCTCAGGGTTAATGTTTACCTAGCAGCGTTCTCTGTTCTCTGTCCTCAACGACCTCGTAGTGCTCCTCCTCCTATCGGTCCATTTGAGGGCCTCTTATGGTTGACCTTGGACCCAAGTTGGAAACGTCATTAGTCAAGGGAGACGGGAATAATAAACAGATTTTAAATACTGTATACAAATGAAAAACACTGAGCTTTTTCTGTATGTCGTGTTTACTACCCCAGCTTTTGAGTGTTGTCTTGGATTACTTTTAGATACTTTAAAATATATAACATATATAAAGACAACTACTGGGTTTGTGTCTCCTTGTAATTTTTGTTTCTTTCCTCCTCGTATTTTAGCAGAAGGTGTGCCTCAGGTGTTTTACTTTGGGCCCTGTGGGAAGTACAATGCCATGGTACTGGAGCTGCTTGGCCCAAGTCTAGAAGACCTCTTTGACCTGTGCGACCGGACCTTTTCACTGAAGACCGTGTTAATGATAGCAATTCAGCTGGTGGGTTTGGAGCTTTGTATGACACCATCACAAAAACTTCTACTCACTTACTATGACTGATGAAACCAAATACATTGAACATAAAAACTCTGAAATTTCTATGAAATGGTTCAAATCACCATCTACCTAGATGCAGAAATGGCACAAAACTATTTGCTACTTAATATAGTAGCTGGAGTTAGACTAACAAGTTCATAATCAAAAAATAAAATGTTTACTGTAGTTTAACAATTTGCATGGCAAGTTCAGCACAATTTACATTTCCAGTTAATGACATATTTTCAGTACAATCCATTTTTCATACTATAGGAATGAACTCTTGTTTCAAAAACTATACTGGCTGGATATTTCAGAGGCTTAATCCACCAAGCCTTTACATTTTATAGTATGCTCCAGAATTCCCAGTACAAAATGATTGGTATTAACCCTGTGCACAAGAAAATGCTAACTTCCTGGTTTGAGACCGGATGTGGGGTTGTGCATTTCCGGTAGCTTTACTTTGCGGTCAATCGCTACTGCGAAGATATACTCCAAAATCATGTTCAAAACTCGAAAATTGATCAATTTTGACGTTTAAAGCGTTTAGATCGATCAGTTGTTTACATCACTCAACACAAGCAGAACTGCATCACTGCAGCAGAAGACACATCGTCCACATTCAGAAGCACATCTCTGTATAGTGACTGGTCTTATGATTTAAACAGGCAAATGTTCAGCATTCAAACTACAGGTGAAGAATAGTCAAACCAGATGTTTCCCCCGTTATGTCGATATCAGCTAGTCAAGTACACACCTACACAGCATGTTAACAAACCGTGAAAAAAAGCCACACAAAAAATGAATGATTGCTGGTAAGGGTTTCTATACATTAGTATGTACGAAGGGTATGTTGTGACTTACCTTCAAAATTACAGTGGTCCCTCGCTATAACGCGGTTCACCTTTCACCTCGCTGATTCGCGGATTTTTTAGTGCAAGTTTGCATGCTTATTTTTTTTACATTGTGTCCTGCGTCCTGATCGCTGCAGACGATCTCCTCCGTGACGTCTCTCCTGTACAGTACAGAATTGCTGCATTGATCGCTAGCAGTGTGACTCTGAAGTGCAGTACTGTATGTCCACGATGTCCACGAAACGTTTTACACCATCAAAAAATAAAATTGGCTACTTGATTTCACCTATTGCTGGTTATTTTTAGAACATAACACCTGCGATAAACGAGGGACAGCTGAGAAATATAATATTTGAATCCATTTTCTCTTTTGCCCTGAGGTGCAGGGAAAAATATCGACAAGTCGATGAACATCATTTACAGATATATTGGGTAAATGCCCGAGACATCTATAGAAATGTAAATCGCCGCTTGATTCATTCATTTGCTTAACTTGTTTTGGACCGTAAACAAGGCGCGAATAGGACACCGGAAACAAAGCTCCCCACAGGAGTTTCCGCACCAGAAGTAGCATATGCTAACGTGCACATAGTCAATTGAGTAAACTGTCCATATAGCTGATTTTACAAGTCTTGCCTGAATACCTGAGGTTCTTGGAGCTTGTGGAGAGTGAGTCTCCTATTACCTAGTATGCAAATTAGCAATCTGTTAGTATATGCATTCTTTTGGGCAGATTTGGGTAGACTGGAAGCTGTCGTGAAGTTCAAAGCCACCACTGATTCACATCAAGTCTGAGCAGCTCAGAGGGTGTAATAACCCAGTCTTTGAGGCGCCTTATGCACATCAAAATTTCTGACGTTTCATTTTGTCAGCACAAAAACTGCAGTGCTCTTGTAATATAGATATCCTCTGAAAAAATGTAAAGACCTACATAGAAGCTCAGCACAGAGGTTTCCTAAAGACTGCATCGCAGCCACCTCACATTATGAATTTATTATGTTGCTCACCTTTAATTCTTTCCTAAAAAAAAAGACCGCGATTCCACTGTAAGTGCAACAAGTTAACCTTAAGTGTTAAAAAGTTGTCGTGCTTTTTTAATAAACCATAATGCTGAAATTCATTATAACTGAGAAAATAATGTCAACTTGGTTCATCAGAAAAACCCATGTTCAATAACTGTGACTCTGATTTAGTGGCCAATTTAAGGAATTTTGTTCATTTACCATGACTGATGTGTTCTTCGTCACCAGATTTCACGAATGGAGTATGTGCACTCTAAAAATCTCATCTATAGAGATGTAAAGCCCGAAAACTTTCTCATTGGACGGCAAGGAAATAAAAAGGAACACATCATTCACATCATTGACTTTGGCCTGGCCAAAGAGTACATCGACCCCGAGACCAAAAAACACATTCCCTACCGGGAGCACAAGAGCTTGACTGGTACTGCGCGATATATGTCCATCAATACACACTTAGGCAAAGGTAAGATTTTATTGTTGTTGTTCTGGGACGTCTGTTTGTAAAACAGATGCTTTGGCACATAGTTGTTGAATTGTGTCAGTGAGATGTTATTATATCTGTTGATACAGAGCAAAGTCGGCGAGATGACCTGGAGGCTCTGGGCCACATGTTCATGTATTTTCTTCGTGGGAGTCTACCTTGGCAAGGGCTAAAGGTATGTAAAGTATATTGACAGTTTCCGAGATTCTTTCATCAGGACTCTCGTCATTAAATTCTAACACACTCTGAGTTGCTGTGTAATTTATATTATTTACCCATCAGTAGCTTCGGCATGTGCTGAAAGTCTGTTAAAAATGCTTGAGAAAATGTACTTCTGAAGACTTCAGCTTTCATTGTGTTTATCTCTCCATTGGCACATTTAAGTCTTTCTTAATGAATATTAAAAAAAATAAGACTAAACAAAGGTTACAGTTGAAAATGAACCAGCTGTTATTTTGTGCTCGCAGTTCAAAATTCATAATCTTTAGAAGCTTTTCTTCAGGCTAATGTGTACAGAGTGGTACAGTTGGTTGTTAATTGAAGCAGTAAGCTTCCTATTCCTCTTTGCTTACTACTCTGAATCCTTTCTGCTTAACCACCTGAAAATCTCCCAGAAAGTCTATTTTGTTCATCACTTGACAAAACGTTTCTCCCACTGAAAACGCTACGTCCGGATGAACAGAATCAGCTTTCTGAGATTTCCTTACTTTGATTGAACATGCAGCAAGAAACCTTAAATGGTCTTGATGGCAATAAAGTGATCAGTAGTATCATGCTGTAACTGTGTCTTTGTGAAACACATAATACTCCAGTCATGGAAGCTCAGTTGATTTTTCAGAGAGAGCGTTTACTTCAGACACATTAAACAAGAAAAAACACTTTGCTTTGAATCTTTTTCAGGCTGACACACTGAAAGAACGATACCAGAAGATTGGAGACACAAAACGAAACACTCCCATCGAGGTCCTCTGTGAGAACTTTCCAGGTATGCTATTGATGGCTGTAATCTCACTCTTGGATCAGCTTGTGAGCCTTGATAGTGTGAATACTGGCTGTGATGTAACCTGATTTTTCAGATAAAATGATCTAAATGTCGTCCCACTACACAATTCGTACGGATTTATCCTCATGAAAGGTGAGAACATTGTTGTTGGTTCTGTGTAATACAGAGGAGATGGCCACCTACTTGCGATATGTGAGGCGGTTGGACTTCTTTGAAAAGCCAGACTATGAATATTTGAGGACTTTGTTCACGGAACTGTTTGAGAGAAAAGGATACACCTTTGACTACACTTACGACTGGGTTGGCAGGCAGATTGTGAGTAACGGATCACATTTTACATGTCAGTAATTTCACCTGTTTGACTGCAGAGCTGAATTCATTGTTATTCCCCTCAGCCCACACCGGTGGGGTCTGTCCATATAGACTCTGGAGCATCTGCAGTCACGAGAGAGAGCCATCCTCACAGAGACCGACCCTCACAGCACCCACCAATCAGAAACCAGGTACGTCCGGTTGAGCAATGGGGACCAGACTGCTTCTTGCCATGCTGTGGTCCAGTGGATGGACCCATGGTGCATTACAGCCTGAAACTCCCTTTACTCTCTGTATGATGATCTCTTTGCCAAGCAAAGCTTATGTGCATGCAGTGACAATAGGATGTGCTATGCAAGTATTCTTTTGAACATCTGTGTATATTTAAATGCTGGAAAATTAGTTTTAAGGCATCAGGGCAAATTTATCCCAGTCATCTTTGCCTTCGTGTTTTTGGGTTTACTGTGCGCTTTAGATATTGTAGATAAACTTTTGGCAAGTGTTTAAGACCATAAATTAAATTAAACTAAATTCTGGTAATTAAAAGCAGCCCACAAAGATGAAGGCTGACTGAAATAAAGCTTTGTAATCATTCACATATTCTACAGTGTAGAATAGATGCACTTAGGGAGAACTTTTTTTGGGTATATATGGGTTTTGTGCCCATGTTGTCAGTGCACCTGCTTTTTGATGCTATTTGGGTGCTTTAAATGCAAATTTCAGAGCCAGGGTTGAATTGTCGCAGTCTATGCTACAAATGAAGGATTTGAATAGCTGTTAGTTAGTCTGGTTGAATTTGATCTACAATTTTGCGTGTGTAAACACATTTGCTTTGATTGCAATTTAATTCATTGCTGGTATGAAGATGAGCTGTAAAATAAATTGCTGGCTTTATAAAGCTCTGAGCATTTCAAATAGGTTACTTGTTAGTGGTTTATGCTTATTTTTTTGTTATTCAGGTGTAATGAGATTGAGGCCAAAGTTTGAGACCTGTGAGCTTGGCTCCATTAGGCTTCAGGCTCATTAGTTTCTGATTCAGTTTTATGGCTGAAGCCTTGCTATGATTTTGATTCACTTTTTTTTTTTTTTTCAATTTTGTTCATTTATTTATTTTTTCTTCTCCATATCTCATGCTGCTTTGCATGGTTACCTTGCCTCGCACACCCAAATATCCATCTTTCCTTCACCCCCCTCCCCTTCCCATTGCACTTTCAAACCCACTTCCCTTCACATCACCGACGCCACCCCCGATTCCTAAGCAGACAGCAGCCTCAGATCGACGAGGAGCATGGGAGGTGCAGCCCGCACGCCAAGCAAACTCCTCCTATCTGACCTCCCACCTGACAGCGGACAGGCACGGGGGCTCAGTGCAGGTATACACCCCTCACCTGATCAACCGGCAGCCCCCACCCAATCTCCATGGAGTCAGATCTGTCTCAAATAATCCAAACAAAGATAAATACACTCATAAATATGGCTTGTAAATGGAAGGGAAAGGCGCAAAGGCATTTTTGTGTGACACTATTTTTCTCCCCCCGCTTGGGGAAACGATATATTTTGAAGGGATTAGTCTTATTTTGAGACAAATATTTTATTTGCGAGTTAAACAACTATGAATACTTAGGAAACTCGTGTTTAGCAAAGTACTCAAGCATTTAATTCATATTATTTTGCAAATAATTTCGCTACTGAACTGGCATTTTTATTCATCTTCATTATCTAAAAGCTCATAATTAATCACAAAACACTGATATAGTAACTAATGCTTTATGCCAGACATGAATTGCATTTGTTAAGTGTTTTAGCTTCATGTGTGAGACAGATCTACAACCATATACCTCCCCCCCTCCAACCCTTTTGCCCCTGGCTGGGAAATGTTAATTTTCTGCTCCACCATATGCATGTCATCTGGTGCTACCCACCCCAGATGGTGAAAGTGTGATTTAGATTTATAAACAGCAGCCCTTCTTGGGGCATTTTGATCTCCGGTCCTACAACTCTTCATGATGCTTGGACATTCTTTGCAAGATCAAGAAGCCTTCTGCATGGCAGAACGACCTGGCATAGCTAGCTAATTGCATGCTTCTAAAACCATTATAGGCCTTTATGCTTAAAGGAACATATTGGTGTAATTTTGTCTCCTAGCCCGTTCCAAAGATTGTCTCTGTCTTCAACAGGGTTTGTTTTGCTTCTGGGGATTCCTTTTACTAAATGGCATTCACTTAAAAATAGTTTGGAAATGTAAACATTTTTATACATATATTGTGAAACTAGATCATTCCCTGGAGTGCCATTGGTAGAAGCATGGCACTCTGTGAACACAGTGTGGAGAAAAGGGTGCTGTGACCAACGCAGTGGTCATCAGACTTGGCTTTTTCAGGCTTTATTATATTACACATCAGACTCGTTAAAGTATAGATCATCGAAGAGCGAAATCTCTCTTGTCCTTTAATGCAAACGCAACTTGTGTCTTTTAGAATAACTGCTACACTGTTACAGAAAGCTCTTTTTTTTTTTAATGTTCTTTTTTTCCAACATTTCGTACACAATCAGGTGTATTATCCTGATCTACTGATGCGTACATATTCAATCAGGTGAAAGTGTAAGGGGAAGTTGTTGGCTTTTTTTCATATATTTGGGCAAGTAAACCTGGAAGTTTACAGATAAACACAGATTCTTTTCTTTTTTTTGTGTTGGGGGGGGAAAAAGTCAGCATATCAGCGAGACAGGCTTGGCTTTTAAAGAGGCAGGCAGGGACTTTCTGTTGTGTGGTTTTTCTTTTTTCTTTTCTTCTTCCTGTACCATGAAAAAACAAAAGGAAGCCAAGTTAATATCTTTTTTAGCATGAAATGTTTCCTTAAAAGTCATTATACAGCTCAGGAATTCTCTTTCAGTTCAGTGAAGGTTAAAAAAAAAAAAAGACTGAATAGGTGTGCTTGTAATTAGACACTCGTTCAGACATCTGGGATGTGCCTTTCTGGGAAACAGAGACACACTGAGTGGAATTCAAGTTGAGATTTGATTTTACTCGTCTCTATGGTGCCTTGGCTCACATGTGTGAGCAATTCTGCTGACTGATTGCGTATGATAAAGTAGGTCCACAACAAGTGCGTGATGTGAAATGAAATTAAATGTGTGAGTAGATGTACAGTCACATTTAATTTTTTACAGTCTGGCTACACTTTACTACCCCACCATCTGCACTGCTAGTTTGTCTTATCCTATCTGTCCTGTCCTATCCTTTGCATATTCTCCTGTCAGGATTCTTATAAATTCAAACATTGGGGGAAAAAAGGATGCCTGAATGAGGCGTCTTTTTGTGCCTACTAGGCCCTGGGCCAATCAAAGACAGTAGGAGTAGATGTGTTTGGCACAGACCAAAGAGCTTTTCAGGAGAAGACCCACACACACAGTGTGAAGCATGTCAGTAGATATGGTTTGGGGTTTCTTCCCCAGGGACTAGAAAGCTAATCGATTGAACTATTAATCCTGGAGGTCACCTTTTAACAGTGTAATGATTGTAAGCACACAGCAAATCCACCAAGGCCGAGCAAGAACACATGGAGGGTTATGAGATTGGCTACAATAGTCACATTTCATATATGAAATATGTCTGGACAGTTGCTTTCAAGAATGCATACAAGAAATTATTATTTATGCTTAACATCTCAATACTAGCTTGAAACCAAGTGTTTGTTTACTTCTTCTAGACAGGAATATTGAGAATTTTCATTGTGGTAGATCAAAGAAGATATGTTTGCTTTCCTAAATATGTCCAAAAAGCCAACAAATCCACTTTTCACGATCTATATGTACTCATGAGTGCATGTGGGCGCACACAAACCCATTTTTGTGACAAATAAAAACATTGCTTCTTTTTACAGGCTCATTGGTTCAAGAATAAATGGCTGCTACTGGCATCTTGATTTTATGATTTGTCCTTCATCTAAACATGTTTTTTACAGAGCAGGATTACAGTCACAAGGGGTGTGACTTTTTTGTTTTTTTTCTCCCCAGAATTCTTGCTTTATTTTTAATAACTAAAAATTTTGACTTTCATCTCAGAATCCTGATTAGTTCTTCACAGAACTAAAGAAAACGCCAGAATTCTGAGGCTGAAAAGTAAAAATTCCGATTCTTTTTAGAATTCTGAAAAGGGTGGAAGAGTCATCACCCATGAATACTTATAATAAAAATAATGTTTTTTTTCTTCAGTGGGCCAAATCCTCTTATGTATGTTTAAGAAGTCCTTTTACTCATTTAGTTTTATTTTTAAGTAATGAGTCTATAGGTTTGCTGAATGGATTCCACAAGCAACGGAAAGATGTTGGTGCACTTTCGCTTTATACCAGGGGTGGGCAATTGATTTTTCCAAGGGGTCACATGATAAACCAAGACTGTTGAGGACTGCACCAATAAGCTGAACTCAGTTCTGCGCAATATTAACTATTTCTTTGTTAGCTTACCAGTGCAGCCCTTCTCAGTAGTCCCAGTTTCTCATGGGCCCTTTGGTGAAAATCAGTTGCCCTCCTCTGTTCTATACAAATCTATTAAAATGAGTTTTCTACATGTAGTTGTAATTCCCCATGTTTGGTGAAGTCTTTACTTTAGTTTCAGGTGTGGTCACTGGTGAGACCTAGCCCTTGTATACTGTAGGGACACAGCTTGTTTGTTGATGGAAAGCTAAACTGGACTACAGCCCTGTATTTACGTGATATTGTAATTACTGCAATCTGAAATTTGCTTGCCTCCCTCCCAACCTTTGCTGTCTTTTGGGATTAAGTTTTTACTCTTGAAAGTCTTTTATTTTTTCTCTCTGGAGCATTTCAGCATTCTAACTTTGGTGACTCGTTGCTGTTTTGGGGCAAATATCGATACACACTGATAACAAACAAGACTATGCTTGTATGACTTAAAGCTACAAAATAGTAAAAAAAAAAAAAAATAGCAGAACCATTCAGACTGCAAGCCAGGTTTTTCTTCATGTTGTGGTGTTTTTTTTGTTTTGTTTTGTTGTTTTTGCTGCCACAAAACCAGTTTCTCCCAGTATAAGCAAAACTAAATGAACTAGGGTATTTGTGTTAACTTGTTCTTTGTTAACCAGGTAAACTTTCTGTCACAGCAGTATCTGGTTTTTCCATACGTATCTGTTGTGTGGACACACATAAGTGGTTTAACTGAACTTAACACCAGTCTGTGTCACAGGTGGTCAGTTCAACCAACGGGGAGCTGAATGCAGACGATCCGCTGGCTGTTCATTCCAACGCCCCAATTACAGCTCCGCCAGAGGAGCATCCGCCCGACGAGGCCAAGTATGTGTCATATAGCCACCACGACTCTCTTCCATGTCCATCTGTCGCTTCCTCTCTTTCCCTCTTTACCTCCCTCTGTCTCCTTTTGCTATCGTCTGGAATTGTGACAGCTCCAGCCACCAGCTGTCATCTTCCACCTGCCCCTCTTATCTGTCTGGGTGTGTGGGTTTACGATCTGCAACCAGTCTCTATATCCCTCAGTGAATTTTCCTTTTCTGTAAAAATAGTACTGTGCAAAAGTAAAAGCCAGCCCTCATTTCTTTAATAGCTCTTTGGAAATCACCCTGGTGGAGCAAAAATACAAAACTATTATTTTATATCTATCAAACTATGTTATCTTTAAGATTTTTCCTAGATTCAACTTAAAATGGAAACAAGTTTTGTTTTTACGATGGGCTGCTAGTAACAATATGCCTAAAGTTCTTTGCAAAGTTGTTTATGTGTAGACACAACACTAGTTCATCCTTTGAGTTAGGTGCCATTTTATCCTTGAGTGATTCATAGGTCAGTGTTAAGTGGTTTAACATACTGAAGAAAAAAAGCAGCCACTGGCCGACAGAATGCCTGGAGAACTATTGCTCTTAAAAAATTACAGGAAAGCCTGTGTCCATGGCAGCAAAAAATAAAGAAATGAAGGGTTGCCTCAAGACTTTTGCACAGTACTGTAGATTAACTAATGCACCCCCTCATGCCTGTGCCCAGCCAATCAACCATTAACATAGACTACAATCTCTACAGCACACAAGTAGTGTAAAAATCATTGAAATTAGTGTTGGCACTGGTTTGAGCTGGTAGCAGGAACTAACCGGTAAATGGTGCCAGTCTTAAGCATCAGCAGCTGGAATGGTGCCACGCTGCATGGCTGGTCAGCCACTGAAAAAACTGCTGTGCAAGCTGAAGATCACACGGTTCGTCTGACTGACAAGAAGTGAGGGCAGCTCTTAGGATTCACACAGCTCTCAGACAAAACAGTATATAATAATGAGGAGATGCATAGTTTGAAACGGAAGTAATAACAGAAATGTAGGAATCAACTTTAAACAGATTTTCTTTATCCACCATGCTTTATGATATTGATTGAGGGAGGCAGCCATTCCAATTTAACTTCTGGACCACTTGACTGGTCTAGATTCAAGTCTGCAGTGGAAAGATTTATGATGCTGGGCCCATTTCATACAACGCTTTCAGCTCCAAGTGCTTTAAATAACAAAGTCCAGACATCAAACAAAGTCAAATAAGACCAATAAAAATAGAGGAATTTTAAAAAAGAAAAGAAATATAAGTAAGCAATTAGATTAGATTGTGCGTAACTTTTAATTTTACATGCAAATAAACAAAATTTGAGAAAATTCGAGCAGAGGATAATCAATTTTTTACTTTTTACTTTTTTACTTTCAATTATTCACAAATTTCTTCAATTAAAATCAATTTTTAATAACCGCCCCACTGAGTAAGTAACCTCAGAATCGGCAACAGCCCAACTTAGCCTTAAAAAAATTAAGTAGTTAACCCAAAAACAAAATTGTTTTGATGATTTTAAGACATTTCTGCCCGCAGCCTTCGGGCAGCTGCTCGACAGCTAAAACATCGTGAGGATTGAACTTCATAGCACGTCCCTGACAAACTGTAACAGTGTGTATATATATAAATAAATAGTAAGTGTTTAACAGAACACCTTGCTGAATTGCTGGTCCATTTTATGCTTTTACTTCATGTAGTTTATGTACACACTGGTGTTCTAGTAACACATCAAAATGAGAGCGAGCGCACTATTGAACCCCTAAACACACCAGGAAAAAAATCACTCATTGTGTACTGCGTTTTAATATGCTTTACATATAATTACCTATGAACTTGTTTTAGATAAGCTTCAGTTCAGCTGTCTGGGAAAGTTCAATGCTGAAGCGATTAACCATAAACCAGCTTTAACAACAGTGTTTATAAAGTGTTTCCTTGTTGCGAGTCGCCTCCTGAATCTCCGAGCTGCGTGTTCTTTTTTTTTTAATGTGCATTCATTTCTGTCTCTGCCCAGATGGGCGGCCTTGCTGCTGTTGTCTCCTTTCACACGATTGCGTGATATTATGATTGGTGTGTTTTGTGCCCATCTCTTTGATGCCCCATCAAACAAGAAATTTATTTTTATTTTTTTAATGACATAATGATGGCAAATTGATTTAAAATTGGCCTT